TCACTCAAATACAGCAACTACTACAGTTTCATTTTGTTTTGGTCTTTTGTGTGTTTTATCATTTGGATAAAATGTGTTCGGTAAAGCTGCTGGAATCTGAATTAAGATGGTTTTATTTTTGCTTATACAAAGCATCCTCAAATAGTGATCACATGATGAAATACAACTAAAAATGGGAAGTCTTAATAAAGGCTTCAGTATTGGTGTGTCAAAGAAAGAAGTCTGAGAAAGCCAGCCTAGAAGCCACAAAGCCACACAGACGGCCACATACTCCAAACAAGGCTAAAGTTAGTACAGGAAAATATAGCAACCCAAAGCCAATAACATCATAACCGTTAATAGCCCACAGAATGAGACGCTCCATCCATCCAAACAAATCTGAACCTTTCACACCACAACCTCACATGCTGAGTGACAGGGAAGATTTGGGTTGGGTTTTTGTCTTTACTTTTTTAAGTTCAAAAACCTTTTATTCTATAATAAGAAAAAATGTGAGTGTATGGAGTCTTTGGACCTAAATTAGAGTGGAGGATGAAAAAAGGAAAAGTGTCAGCATGTATTTTAAGGCTCCTGAACATACCAAAGAGAAGAATCATTAAGGCAAATTCCCGAGTGTCAAACACACAAAGCATATAGAAATTGGGAACTGCTAAACACTTCAAGCAATAGTTCCTTTTGTCTTATCTGACAAAACGGCTATACTCTCCTGCTTTCCTTTACTTCATTTCTCAGTCAGATATCTGTATTAGTCTTCACTTGAAGAAGGGCTTTGCACCTCTGCCTGTGCCAACTGATATCTTTGACAGGCTGGTGAGCCCTCCAGAGCCCTACTCAGAGATACGGTTTTTTTTTTTTCAAACACAGAAGACTGATTACAAATGAAATCAGCAGTATTTAGTTGTCAAAACTGACTTAAATTGGGAAATAATTACACCTGTATTTCTGGAAGTGCTTGGTAATAGGGACCAAACCCAGGGCTTTGCACACGGGCAATTACTCTACCACTGAGCTGCATCCCTAAACAACAAATATACAACAGGTCCTTCTGTTCGCCTTCATTCATAATTGAGTGAAATTCTAAATTCAGGGCTAGTTATGGTATTTTTGTTTTCTTTAGTGGAACTCAGGCCCTTTGCTTACTAAGCATATACTCCATCAATGAAGCCACACCCCCACCCTTCAGTTTGTGTAACATGAAACATGTAACATCCAACTTTGTGGATCTCTCAATTCTGTTACTCCTAGATTAAGAATTCTTGGTTGAGAGAGCCAATAGAAACGTACATACTATGAAGCATCAAATGAAAGATAAAGCCTTACAAAATGCATCATTTACCTGAGGTGAGAGGAACTCAGAGAGTAAGCTGTATTTTCCCCAAAAAATATGCTGGGCCATTAGTCACAAGACAGCTGTGTGCTTCAAACCAAGTTCAGATAAGGCTCTGATCCAAAAAGCTGGCTAGAGTCTGCCCTACAGTGAGGAAACTGTGTGGAGAATGGCTCAGATCAGCATACAATCAATCTCCCTCCTTCCTCGAGCCCCAGTTTCTTCATAAATAAAAGGGTTGAATATGTACCATTACCTCTCAGGCCTCTTCCAGTCCTAAGTTTCTCTTACCAGATGAACTCCTACTATGCTAGTAATTCCAGTCCAAAATCATGTGCCTTCTTAAACTTGGATGGCAAGTTTCACTCAATGCCAACAACCTAACACCAAGGAATCAAATATATGTATGTCATTGTACCTTTTTTAAAAAACTGCTGTGTGATCTATAACTTCATAAACGTAATCACAGCATTAGTCTTTTCTGCTCTTAAATGGATACATGTGTGCTCGTTTGAATTCTATAACTTCATTTTTGACAGTACACAACATTCTCAATCAAATATCAAGTTAGATTTTGTAATTTTACTATATATTTTCCACATTTGAACCACCAAACAGAATTACAGAGGACAGACCAAGAAAAGCTACTAAGTCAATCATTTTATTATTGCTGAAGAAACAGAAAAGAAGGAGGAACTAAGTCTAAATCACAAACCAGTCAGCAAGTTTAGGACTTGAATCCAGACTCCCTAAGTATAAATGAATGTTCTTCCAACCTACTGAACCACCTCCCAAATCCTAAACAACATCCCAACTATAAATGTTAGCCAAGTTTCAAATTAATAGGAAAAAAAAAAAACCCTATGTGTAGATGATTCATTTTCCTCCACCTTCAATTAAAAGGGGACCAACAAAGATTGGTAGCTGGTCAGAATTATAATTTATATTTCACTGATCTTCACAAAATGTGATCATTCCAATAAAACCCTAGCTCTGTGTCATTTTCTTAATATTGTGCAACCCATAAGATGCAAAAAGATTTGTATGTGAATGTAGACATCTACCAATAACTTTTCCATGTGCTCTTCTGAATTTCCTGGTAACATTTTTTTTTTTTTAACCAAGGAGGGCAGTAGGGAGGACAGTCACACAGCTGTTGTGTTTTATAAGCAAGTTAAAGAATCTGTCATAATAAGCTTTGGGCATTTTTGTACCTCAATAATAATTTCATTAAGGATAACTCTTAGACATTCTCTACTTACATTTATGTCTTAGAGGATCAGGCATGTAGTCATAGTCGTTTTTATGTGAATGTTGTTCCTTTAAGAAGGAAGGCAACTGTCTCAAGTCCTAAGGCTGGATTACAACTACTTAATAAAGGCCTCTTTAAAATCTACCTGTTCACTTTTGACCAGCACGCTTCAGTGTGTTCAATATTTCAGCAGTCAGAAACCAACCCTCCATAAAAGAAAAAGACCACAACTTGTTCAAGTATTCAAAAACCAGACTAACAGCTCCTACTCTTTCTTCTCATTTCCTCAGAGACCTTCCCTGAGAAAACTGAAAAAGGCAATGCCCATCTAGAGGCATCAGGTCTAACCACGTTTGCTAAGAACGGGAGCATCTGAAATTGTCATTTATTATTCATTTATCCACATGTCTTTCTTGCTTATGCCTGTCGGTACACACTAAAACAAAGTTCCTGCTATAGGGCTGGATTCCCAACTCCTACACAGTACCAGCACACAGTAGGTGCCCTGCCGCAACCGTTAAGCAAGCAACTTCATCCTTAGTGCCTCCTGCAAAGCATTCGGAAAAGGCAGGGCAGGGGGCAGGGGGCAGAGGGCAAGGGATTTCCACAGCCCACTCCAGTCGGCAATCCAGACTATAAATCCCTCCCCTGACTGTAACGCCCGGTGCTTGACCAAGTTCTAAAAGTTCTAAGAACACAAAACCTCTCCAGACACCCCCCCTCCCTTCAGACCCCCTGGCATGCTTGAAACCTCTCCACAAATGATGGCCTCAAAAGGAAATAATGAAATAAAACTCTGGCCTAAGCTAATCTTCCGTGTCAAGTTCACCGTGTTAAACATACTTTGAAGCCAGCCACATAAACAAAAGCCAAACTCCACAAAATGAGGTTGGGCTGAAAGTTACATAAGGCAGACTAAACTGCGGCTTTTTTCTTGACACCCCGCCCTCTTGCCAGAGAACTCCAACATCTGTCTTTGAAGTGCAATTCCCAGGCAGGTTGGGGGGGGGGACCCCTCGGCCAGCAGCTTCGAAACAGGTACTGAGACTTGCCAGTGCCATCCCGCTTAATACTCCAGCAACTTTGGGGAGGTGTGGGGGGGGGGGTACTGTGTCTAGAAGCTTCTCTTCTAAAAAAAAGAATTTAAAGTCAGCACTTACTTGAAGCCCGTTTCTGCCAAGTCCCCAGAGTCCGTCCGCCACGAGAACGGCTCGCGTGCGGGCCGAGCCCACCCCGCAGCACCCACGAGGTTCTCCACCCAGGCCGAGCGCCGCGAAACGCGCGGGTTCCCAGGGCTGATCCGTCCCAGGGCGAAGCGGGGGACCCTGCCCCCCCCCCCCGCCAGGACTCAACCCCAGCCGCTCCGTCGGCCGAGTTCCGAACCCTTTTCCTCCCCCCCCACCCCCGCCCCGCGCCCCGCGCGCTCCCCGCTCTCTGCCCACTTTATCCCGCTGTAATCCCCGGGAAAGCCGCACTCCCGGGCTCATTAAGGGTAAACAATAGAAATGTCACGAGGAAACTCAGGAAGTAGATGAAGTCTCTAATTGCTGCCGTTTAACGATTGTAGATAATTACTAGGTTCAAAATGTGGTGCTGGTTTTTGTTGCTTTTTTTTTTCCACCAGCGAAGAAGGAGCCGAGGCGGGCCGCCTGGCGAAGCTCCCCGCCGCCACCCCGCCACCCCGCCAGGAGGGCACCAAGCCCGGCCCCGCACCCGAGAGCGGGGTCCCGATGGGGTGCGCGGCCCCGCGCGTGCTATCGCGGGACGCCCGGGTCTCCTCCGGTCCCGTCCCGATCCCGATCCCGGTCCCGGTCCCGCCGTGGGTCTGGGGAAACGGAGGCTGACTGGCCCGCCCGGGTCACAGACAGTTCAGCGCCCGCGGCGGTCACCGTCACAATGCGCGCCCAGCGCGGCCCCAACGCCCCCCCAGGCTGGCTCGCGCCGGGCAGCCCGAGTCCACGCTCCGGGGGGTCGGGGTCACGGGATCTCCCGACCCACGGTACGAGAGAAACGAAGGGAACCCCCCCATCCACCCACTCACACACACTCCCCGAGGGCCCCGGCCGGCTGGCCTTCCGCGCCCCGGAGAGCGACCCCGGAGGTGCCCGAGCGCCCTCCTCGGCCCGACGCGGGCCTCCCGCAGCCCCCCCGCCCCCCCGAGGTCGGGCGGAGGATTCGGTCCCCGAGTCCGCGCGTCTCCCCGCGGGGTCGCCGGAACCGCCGCTAACGCTTCCTCCCAACGGACCACGCACCCCCGGCCCCGCCGCGGCACCCCGGCCTCCGAGTCGCCCCGGCGGTCCCCGAACGAACACCAGCCTCCCCCCCCCCGAAAAGAACCCATCCCACGGGCCCCTCTCGGGGTGGCGGGCGCTCGCCATCCGCCCCGCTGACCCAGAGATCCGCCTCACCGCCGCGACTCACCCCAGAACTACCAGCTCCCCGTATTTCACAGGCTCCTTATTGGGGGCGCTGGGCTCCTCCTGGCCGGGGGAAAACATGGAGCCCCGCTCGGCCGCCGCCGCCGCCGCCTCCGCCGCGATCCCCGCCGAGTCCGCGC